CTTACCCGAACAGACATGACATACACATCTCCTGGTGAACAGGTAAGTCTTTTGACAATGCCCTTTGCCTTAGCTTTAGATATGCCTGTTGATAGAGAGCTTGACCTTTGACCTGCTTTCACGTTTCTGAGCTCTGGCGAGATACCTTTTCACAATGCTTTACTTTTTCAAGGCCCGTGCTGCTTTATTTTACAAGGCCTGAGGCCTATATCGGGTAAAGGCCCTTTTACTGGTAAACCTGCTTCTCGCCGCAGAGTTGGAAACAAATATAGGAAACACAGCATGGTATAGACATTGTGAAATCTCCGCCAACGCGGCCTGTGTTTTACATATCAGGCACAATCTATTTTATCTGAGAACACATGCAAAGATGTTTGACCATATTTTCTGCATTCAGTCTTAGCAATCTCTGCACCATTGTTTCGACCTGAACAACTAATGCGAATTTCTCAGATTTCTCCTCCTTGCTTTTCGGAAGAGCTTGCTTATAAGACCTTCTGAGCTATCAGCAGCATTCCAACCCTCCCACCCATCCATTTCTTGTTCCCCATACTGCCAGTCATCGGTCTCCTCAATGCCATCATGTTCTGTCATGACCGCATCCCTCCCCTGTGTATATTTACGGGCTGTCGGAAATGACCTTTGGGTGGATGCCATGGGCTTGGCCCCCATCCTGTTCTTTCTCGCCCCCTCTACCTTCTTGGGCTGCAATGATCGCAACCTGAAACGATGTTGCCCATCTGCCACTTCATCATGTGGGCTTGACATCTGCTTCTGCCGAGGAGTCCTGACTCTTTGCATGTCTTCTTGAGACGGTGCTCTTTTTCCGTCATGATCTTTGGTGTGCCACCGCTCATTCACCACATCATTTCCCTGACGCACTGATTTCTTATCTGACACATAAGAAATATTTTGCCTTATTGGTTCCAATCTCGTCACCTCTGCTTGACTTGCTGGTATGTCAGATCTGGACCGCTTGAGAGGCCCTGAGTTTGCCAGCCGACTGTCCCATTCCATCTCTGAATGACGTTTACGGTTTGGAGCCTGCCTCCGTGGAGCTGTGCGTGCTCCAAGGTGTTCAGCACATCCCATCATGTGGGTACCACCCTCACTACTGTAACCATCTGTTGACAATAGAACCGCTGAATGGCAGTGGCGTGAGTCAGAGCCAGGCTCTGACATCCTCTCTTGGATGATCTCATAGCTACAGCTGCCTGGACACTCTTTTGTTCCATTGTTCGTTTCCTGCCTTGCGCTGTTCATGGCAGCACCTGCTTCTCCTGCCTGTCTGTGACTCTCAAGGCCACTACCAGGAAGCTCCCTTGCATGTTTTCCAACTTCATTGCTGCTACAGTTGACTGCCTCTCCTCCTACCCTGCCCTTGTTCTTCACCAAGCTGTCCATTGAACAGAGCACATCACCCACTTCGCCTTCATTACCCTGTGGGCCAGAAGCTCTGACTCCACTGTAATTGGCTGCTGCTTCCTCCTTCAGATTTGCCTCCTCCTGTTCGCCGTTTTCATTTCCCTTCAGGAGCTCTGCCTGAGCCCCTGTCCGATGAGCTGCATTCTCCTTGTTCATCACTGAGACCAGAGGTTCCATAGGCTTGGATATGGTGTCTGTTTTCCTGTCGCTTTCATCTTCCTCAGCATCACTGTCATCCATTACTCCATCCCAAGGTGATGACTTACCGCTCCCACACTCTGTGCTACAGCTTTGCTTGGTTTCTGGAAGTCTCGTTGGGTTGGTGCACTTACTTGCACCACCTGGAGATTTCCCTCGCCTAACCTCTCCCAATGTGCAAGTCACTGGCTTCAATTGTGGAGCTGGGGGCTGCTCGCAGTGTGCATGGGCACAACCACCTTCCATTGCTTCTTCATATGATGTTTCTTGCACAACATTAGGAAGCTTTACCTCATTGAGAGCCTCAGCTTGTCCATGAGGTCTCTGTTTGTGGTTCTCCTTCCACATCCTCCCTTGTACCCTCTGTGCCTGTGCATCAGTGCCAGCTTGGCCACCCAGTGTGTCAGGACCCCTGCGAAATAACTTGCTCTTACCTAAGCGTCTGCCACCATAGCCAGGCACATGGTCATCAAATTGAACCCGTCTGTTCATCTCCAATTGATCAGCGCCGCACCAATCCACTGCTGCTGCTGCGAATCTGTTTCCTTTTCTCCCATTACTGACTTGCCCAGGTACTCGTCGATTACTGTACTGGGCCATTTCTGGTGCCAAGTACAGTTGATCACAATTGTGAAATTCCCATCCACCCCTAAGCATTCTCCCTCCTTGTAATGGCATGATCCCTTCTCGTTTTCCACCCCTTCCTGCTCCACGTGGGTCCATGAGCCTGCCTCTTGTTACCTCACTTGTTTGAGAGCGGCTCTGTTTTCCACATGGCCCAATTTCACCCTGCTGTACCTGTCGCAAATGGGAGTATTTGTGGGCTTCTCCTCTCTGACATCTTCGCAGTTCCAAGCTCTCCTTATGTGGGAAACCTTCGTTTTCAACACCTGCCACTTCTTCTTCTTCTTCCTCGTCATGCACCTCCTCCCCATCCTCTTCATCCCCTTCCATTTCCCACTCCTCCTCCTCCTCCTCCTCCTCTTCCTCTTGCTCCTCCTCTTCCTCTTCCTCCTCCCCCTCCTCCTCCTCAGGAACATGACTTCTGGACCTGGAAGCTTTCCTGTGACTTAAATCGACAATGCCTCTCAGACCGTGCATCTTTTTCCTGCAAAGGTTACTCCTTACGCTGTCATCTTCAACGTGAATCTTTGGCAGATGGCCTCCCTTTGCCATGTTTTCTCTTGTCGTAACTTTGTCAATATTCCACAATGCGTCATCTGTATTCTCATACCGTTTGTGGTCTCGACGGCCGTCTCGTTTGCCAGTGACTTCTGGCAACAGGTTGCCTCTGCATCCTTTTTCTCGGACATTGCCACTTCCCGGAGCCAATGTGTGCTGTTTTCCAGGCTGATCCGCCGCTTCTCCATCTCTTGCACATATCCCTTCTCCATCATGTGAAATCTCATATTCTGATGCATCTGTGTAAGCATGTAGGGCTCGAGAAGAATTTAGCAAACCTCCGATGAGGAGCCTCTCGAGACCGCTTCCTGACATCACCATTGCCCCTTATGGGCAATGCCTTGGCTGGAGGCATCCTGTGATCTGAAATTTCAAGGGCCATGTCTGAGCATGCATTACCGAGGTCCCCTAACATTTTCTTCTTACCAACAGGAAGGTTTGACACTGTCTGCGCTTGTACTCTGCCACTGTCATTGAGCTGCCCTGTTCAATGACGTTATTCATCGACAGGACTGACCCCACTGACTGGTCTTGCTGCACCAGTCAGCAAGCGGTCTAGGCCGCATGCCAAACTACGTTTCTCCTCGCCCAATCATGCTGGGATGCCTCTGAGGGCATGCCTCCTCCCTTCCCTGCACATACCAGAAAACGTTTGAAACTTCAGCATGTTTCGTCTCTGGAAGATTGCCGAGTTCTCCGCTACCCTCAAGTCCTGCTTCACTCACTATATGATGCCCCGTTTATGTGCCCAAGTCAATCACACATGCATGTGACCAAACAGAGCTGCATTCCATCTTTATCCTATTCATCATATCACCCTCCCAGTGAGCACTACAGATTCTCTCTCTCTCTCTCTCTCTCTCTCTCTCTCTCTCTCTCTCTCTCTCTCTCTCTCTCTCTCTCTCTCTCTCTC